CAGTCACTTGTACATTCCAAGTTAGGAAATCAGAGGTTGAGCACTCCTGATTTAGACAGAGGTTAGATACATTGAGCGGGGAACATGCCATCCAAATTCCACTCCTGCTCTAAAACTACCCATAACTTATAAAACTATTCTGTCTGTGCTCTAATTTGCGATGTAATGAATACTTCTCCTTTCTTCCACTCCCTGGGAATTGAACTTCACAAATATTCCAGTCCAAATGACCTGAGAGGTACTGGGCATCAATGGACTTTCTTCCCTCCATTGAACCCCCAGACACACAGGGACACATACTGCTGGTTCATTACTTTAATTACAGCGTGCGGCATGTTCACATAAACCAGAGCAGTACTGCAATAAAACCTCAAAAAAAAAAAAAAAGCTAATTATTAAGACTGAAAAGTTTTAATTTAGACATGTTAATGGGTATAGATTTAGGGACAGTGAAGTCTAAACTTGATATTGATTTTAAGCATTACTGTTTAAATGAAAAGATGGGAGAACGTGAATTAGAAAAAGTAATTCTGATAGTACCTTGATCTGTTTGCATGAGGTATTAATAGAGAATGGATTTTTAATGTCTAGGTTCATTGAAGCTGCTGGTCCTTATGGTTCCTCACGAGTGTAAAGTATTATGGCCAAACTGCTAAATGAATAATTTAATTGTATTTATTAAAAAAAGGGGGGAGGGGGGGATGCTGGAGAGTAGCAATATTAGACCTAAAGTGGGGAATTACCTGTATTCTGGATAATTTGAAAAATTTTCAGCATTCATTCTGATTACTTAGAAAAGTTTAGGAATACTCGCAGAGAGACTCAGAAGACTTCACATTCTTGTATGTTTAAATTTCCTACAGTGACCTAATGAATTTAAAAAGTGGTATTAAAAATCGTTTAGTTTATACCATTCTGCCATGTTTCCATGGTTTTGTTTTGCTAATACACTTATTAATGTGCGAATAGAGATATTTGATTCAATTTTGGTTTTAATATATTGCATCATTGTAAGAATGAAAGGTGAGTCTTTAGTCTTTATTTTCACTTAAAGACTTTTCTGATTGACTACATGCTCCTTCAAAGTGTCCAACCCTCACCCCCCTGACTGGGCAGAGGAAAGGACTTCAAGGAAAATATTCATTTTAAATCCGCACTACCTGCTTATTGGGAACTCGTTAGTCCTACAAGTTAAGCAGCCTTTGCTGGGGTCAGTATTTAGATAGGAGGTTATCCAAGAAGATGGAAGTGCTACAGGAAATGTGTGAAGTTATCACACAGAAGTCTCGTCTCCAGTGTAAACAACCTCTTCTTCGGGTGTGGAAGCACCCCACTGCTTAGGGTCCTGAATGTCTCTAAGATGTAAAATTGATATCTTAGCTGTGTTTCATCTTTTAAGACCTAATGTTTTTTTTTGCAAGGGAAAGAGTAGTCAAACCAAAATCCAATTAACAGTGGATCCCTGTGCAGTTTTAGTGAGGTGAATTCCTCACGTCTCAGTCTGGAGAGCATTGTGTATTACCAGTCGTTGCTTTGATTCACTTCAAATGCTAGTATATTTTAATGGTGAGAAAATACATTCCTGTTCACTGTTGTAACATAATTTTTTGCTTCCTTTGAATGAAAGCTTAAATAGATCAAGTTGTGGCCCAGGAAGAATTTAAAGCTCCAGCTAATGGCAACTTTGCACTCATGGCAGTTAGTCGAATTGAGAGCTGTCCTTAAACCACTCTCATTTATGCAGATGGACTGGCTCAGCACCCAGCTGGCTGGCTGAAGGAAGTTTTAAAGAATGTTTTGTGACAGATCTGAATCGGGGTATTGTATATGGATGTGGTTATTAGGACATTTATTGTAGACGTAGATTGTTTTGATTTATCAAGATAATGGTGGGGGCATAAAAAAAAAAAGTGGAAAAATTGCCTCCACCTAAGCCAGCCTATGTGTTGTTAGAAACAATTCCAGAATAGGAAGTGCCTGTAACACATAACATAAAAGGTGTAAAAAGTCAAGAAAATATTAATTATTGCAGAGGACCAGGCTGAAAGGCAGGCCCCACACAAGGTTCTGATAAAGCTGAACCTGAATTCTTGATTACCATCAAGAAATGGTAATCCCTCTGCACTATTGTTTTGACACCTTTCCCTCCATATGCTGCATTTGTATTAATAAATTAAGTAGTGATTTTGTCACAATATTGCATTACTGATCTTGAAAAGAAGTACAGCAGGTGTTCAAATGAAGACAAAGCAAAGAAGGCACTCCAGAACAGGCATAATCTGAAACCAAAAGAATTGCAGAGTTTTATCTTTGCAGAGATAAAGACATGATGCCTGAAACCTGGAAGATTGTACTTTGATCTTAAAAGGAGGGACAGAAATCCAACATCTCCGCGATTGTAACTCCATCTCTTTAAAATGCTATCTGAGACCTGCTCTGAGATCTGGTTTTTTTCTGTTTGATGCTGCTGTGAAGTGATAATATTGCATTTGTCCTGCTACAATTATTTTCCTAATTTACAATATCCTGTGATATCATATTACTTCTGTGTAAGATCAAGCCAACGGTGACAGTGGAAAGAAAAACAAAATACAACCATTAGATAGCCATTGTCAGCACTGCTGTGGAAATTCAGAAAGACACTCACTGGTGCTTCTCTCACGTACTGAACGCTTTTCTTCCTCAGCTTGCTAGATGCAAACACCTCACGGAAACTAAATTTGTAAACTAACTTGCTGAATACCTGTTAATTACCCCTACTCATTGATAACATTAATATAAGAATTGTAAAAATATTTTTCGAAAGAGCTAAAAAGGGTGTTTTGCAGTATAGTTTCAGTATTGGAAAGCTGTATTTTTCTCTGGCTTGTTAATTTGACTTGCTCAGGCTATCTGGAACTCCCTTCCTGTTTCCCTCCAAGACCTTTAGTCGCTTCCTTTCTCTAAATGAAAAACGCTTTCATTTGTCTTTAACTGATGATGGATTCTCTTGCAAGCATTCTGATAAAAATCAGTTGAATTATATATAGATTTTTCCTACTTGCAGATGACCAAAAATCACTGCAGTTAGATATGTTAAAATTAGTTTCAGCACTGTGTCTGTACTCAGCATTTTACAAATTTTAAAAAGTACCTTGTTGCCTTAGGGTATATTTTAATGGAATGTTAAAATTCCGTTTTCTTGTTTAACCGAGAGATGCAAAAAATAGATTGGCTGGTGAAATTATAAAGAACGTATTCAATCAAAGTTTTTTTATTTGCTATACACAAAAAAAAAAGCGCAGATTTACAATACAAAAATAAAACTCTGTTTGCTTTCCTGGTATGTAATAAATTAGTACACAGAAAACCTGAATTTTCCTTATAGTAAAATATTTCAGGCCCAGTCATCTACTGTGAATGGGGTAAAATGCCACTGAAGATTACAGACCCCTATCCATCAATAAGGTCATTAAATCTGGCCTGTTTTGGGGTTTTTTTCCCCCCTCAGGTAAAAGCCATCACCAGATTGTTACTCAATTTTTAATCCAATTTAGTATATTACGCTTCTTCAAAAAGTAGAGATGTTCTGAGAATTTAAATTGCCCATAACTGAGTGCTCTCTCCCGTGTACATTTTCCAAACTGACTAGCTAGTAGGAAAACAGATGAAATATTGTTGAGATCGCAGTGGCAGCTGGTATAAGACACCAGGTAGCAATTAATAAGTAAAAAGAAGACTGACAGTGTCAGTTTGTATCTTAAATCATGAACCACATTAATTTATGGCTCAGTAAAGTGGAAGTGCTGGTACTGGAGTTACAGCAGAGATCTTAGGCTCTGATCCTGCATGTCAAGACCCACTGTTTCTACAAGATCAAAAATACCATTCAGGGATAACTGACATACTTCCAGGTGAAGTTCAAGGTTGATACCTAAACTGACTGAGCTGAACTTTGGATTATACTCTAAGTAGTGTAATATAAATTTCAGCAAGGATGATGGGAGCCACTGAGCCTGTTCTGCCTTTATTATGCATATAATAAAGACAGTCCACTGGCTGTAACAGAGATGTAACAGTAACACTAGGAATGGAATTTAGCCAGAACTTCCATATTTTATATTTAACAATACATGGCATTTAATTCATCCATCCTGCTGCCATGTAACATCCCTTATATCACTGTAAAAAGGGCTGACTTGAAAATATACACGGATAATTTGTTAGAGGAAGACACAAAATCTTAGGAGAAAAGAATGGGAAGTCTAGAGATGTCACAGAATGTTAAGGGCTCATTCACCTGTTGTGAAATTTTTACTTCCATCAGGATAACAGTGTTGCCTTCACTGTATTTATAAAAATACTTTTTGCACTCCTATTCATTTCTGGAAGAAACAGGGAGTATTGATGTCTTTTCATATTGACACCTGGAACTACCCACGCCCAAACTGAGACTGCATCAGGTGCAGGGAAAGGCTGCTCGGTGGAGCAGGAGAACGGGTCCCAGCAGAACTTCTCTAGCTTTAGATTAAGAAAGTGAGGACTGGACAAAGTGTATTCTTTTACACAGGTTAGAAATTAAAATTCAGAGAAATGAACAATGTAAATTAAAGGGAAAAGTGGGAAAAGGATGTATATTGGCCTTGGGCACATTAAGATTGGAAGTCAGAAGGAGGTCTAATTACTTAGAAAATGAAATATTTTAGAATAGCCTTTCCAATACAAATAGCAGCAACAAGCCACCCCACACTCAAATATTTGGGTTGAGGCAGTTCATGCAGAGACAAGAGAGGACTTGTTGCTGGGACCCTTTTGAATCCTTCCATTCATGTGTTGCTGTCCTGTTTTTCAGATAATGACTGAACGCTGGAGATCTAACCCTAGTTTCATGCTAGAGACTCTTCCCTCTGCAGCATGAAATGTAGCTGCCCTCCACACATTTTGATACATTGAACAGAGCCCACTCAGGAACTTCTGATGCCAGGGCGTCATCAGCCATTCTGCTTAACGGGACGGCTCACCTGAATACCCATCTCTGCATACACTGCATCTGACAGAGCTGAACGTGATAGGACAGTTGTTGTTTCTTTTCCTGAAGTTCTTGTGTCTCACTGATCTTGTAGTTTGCTTGCTCTGCGTATTTCCATCAACTGATCTCTTCATACAGCAGAACAAATCATCTGTGCATTAAAAATTAACAATAATGTTGGAATAGTATTGAATATATAATTGTAAGCCCTTTTGGTCTTATTGTGGTCACTGTGTGGGTGAAAATTGCATCAAAATATACAGCATTTCAGTTAAATTGTTACCCTAAGACCTTTGGCCAATGTCCCATCTCTGGGCAGAAAGCACGAGACCACACCAGAGCCTGGCCCAGGAACACCTGCCAGCTCTCGCTCCAAACAAGCTGCCACTCACCTCCTACATGAGTCACAGAATCACAGAATCTTCTAGGTTGGAAGGGACCTCAAAGATCATCTTGTCCAACCGTCAACCTAACTGACAAAAATAGACACCCAAACAACAAACAAGAAGCATCACCATCACTAAAACATACCTCCCAGCACTACATCAACCCGTCTTTTGAACACCTCCAGGGATGGTGCCTCAACCACCTCCCTGGGCAGCCCATTCCAATGCCTGAGAACCCTTTCGGTGAAAAATTTTTTCCCAATATCCAGCCTGAACCTCCCCTGGCGCAACTTGAGGCCATTTCCTCTCGTCCTGTCGCCTGTGACTTGGGAGAAGAGACCGACCCCCCCCCCTCTGCACCCTCCTTTCAAGGAGTTGGAGAGAGAAATAAGGTCTCCCCTCAGCCTCCTCTTCTCCAGGCTGAACGCCCCCAGCTCCCTCAGCCTCTCCTCACAAGACTTGTGCTCCAGACCCCTCACCATCTTTGTTGCCCTTCTCTGGACCTGCTCCAGCACCTCAATGTCTTTTTTGTGGTAGGGGGCCCAAAACTGGACACAGCACTCGCGGTGGGGCCTCACCAGTGCCGAGTACAGGGGAATGAGTCATGGAATCACAGAATATCTTGTTCTGGGCTCCCCAGTTCCAGAGAAACAGGGAACTACTGGAGAGAGTCCAGCGAAGGGCAACGAGGATGATGGGGGGATTGGAGCATCTCCCTGATGAGGAAAGGCTGAGAGAACCGGGGCTCTTTAGCCTGGAGAAGAGAAGGCTGAGGGGAGACCTTATCAATGCTGACAAGGATCTAAAGGGTGGGTTGAAGGAGGATGGAGCCGGACTCTTTCCAGTGGTTCCCAGTGACAGGACGAGGGGCAACGGGCACAAGCTGGACCATGGGAAGTTCCAGTCCAATCTGAGGAAGAACTTCTTTGGGGTGAGGGTGGCAGAGCCCTGGCAGAGGCTGCCCAGGGAGGGTGTGGAGTCCCCTTCTCTGGAGATCTTCAAGCCCCAACGGATGCTGTGTCACCCGATTCGAATTTATGGTTAGATCTGTTCAGATGGCTGACTTCAACCAGTCACGAGCGGTTAAACAAGTTTCTCTTTGCTGAAAATGTCTCCCCTCCGGTTTATTTTTTTTCAGACACAGTGTTTTCGCATCGCGTTCTGGTTCAAACTTCCGTTCCCTCGGGAGAAAGGCGCCCACCGGTTCCGCTTCCCCCCCCTCCCAGGTGTGAAGATCGGCGCGATGCCGGATCGGGATCGAGAAGGAGCCTCATCCCCTGCGGGACC